TCTCTCCTTAGCATGCTTGTGGAGGTGAGCTGCAGTCTGTGGGAGGAAATTGTGGAGTGAAGTGTTGGGGAGGGGGAGAGGAGGAGGACAGCACGGAGAGTCTTTGTGGTTTTGTTGGTGCTGTGTCATTAGGGATGTTCATGATTTAGGCTGTATGAGGAATGGATTGAGCAGAGGATGCAAGTGACCAGGGCTTGTGTTGACACATGAGTTAAACATTTGTGCTGTGTTGCCTTGCACTGTTATTTATTGTGAGGGTCCAGAATGGAGAGTGGGCTGTATTTTAGAGGGAAAATAAATGGCATTTTAGTTATAAATGCACTGTAAGCTTGGATCTGAATCTTGAGTGTTTGAAATGCTTTGTTTCAGGTCCATAAGGGAGTGCATGGCATTGTCCAAGACAAGAGTGGCAGGGCAATTTCTAAAGCTGCCATTGTTCTGAATGAAGGCTTGAGGGTCTACACTAAAGAAGGTGGCTATTTCCACGTGCTCCTGGCTCCAGGTTTTCACAGCATTGATGCAATAGCCAGTGGGTACCAGCAGAAACACGTCAAGGTGTGTGAATGTCCATTTTGGAGATGTTTCCCTGTTCCCTGTGTTCCCTGTCACATAAAATCTTCCCTGTTTGGGTGCTGCCTGGTTGTGCCTGTGTTTAACTGCTGATTAGGTGCCGTCAGGAGCTGTTTTCTGCCTTAACAGTATGGATGGAGAGCATCCATTTCCAGCACAGCAGGGAAGTTTTGGGAGTACCTTTTCTTTCCATGGCACTTTTCTTTGACCAGGGCAGGACCAGGCAGATGACAAGTGTCTCTCTTGTCTGGATCCTCAAGCTCTGAGGTGATTTAAACTCTCATGTCTTTTTGCAGGTCTTTGTACGTGATGATGCACCCAGCTCTGTGTTCATAGTATTTGACACAGAAAACAGGATTTTTGGACTGCCAAGAGAGCTGGTTGTGACTGTGGCAGGTACAGTGATACTTTTTATCAAAGCTTTGAGCTTTGCTTTCTGTATCAGTTCATGAGAACTTCAGCTCACAGAGACCCTCCACTGAACTGGGAAAGCAGCCTGTAGGCTTAAGCCATCCCCTGCTTTCCTTTCTGAAAACACTCTTATCCTTGCAAACTCATCCAACAGCTCTTGGTAGGAGGGAAGGAGGAAGTAGAGTGTTTTGCAGGGATTTGGAGGGTCCAAAATGTACTTTGAGATGTCTAGAATGGGGAGAGCTTGTGTGCATAGGAGATCTTGCTTCTTCAAGGCTTTTTTTTAGGTGTTGTGACATCAGGTAAATATGAAGAGATTTTATTTTCTCAAGGTGTCAGCTGCTGAGGAGGAGTGTGTGGGAGTTTAGACCCAGTGGTCTGTAGTGGAGCTTGGTGATAATCTCCTAGGTTTCAAACACTGAAAATGGAGTCTGTCCTGTTCTGGGAGCAGCTCTCCTGTCCTCCATGGCCTAGGAGGAAGGAGCAGGGTAACAATGAAGTGAAAGAAAGTGGTTGGGATGGCAGGAGGGAGGAGAGATGCTGGCAAGCCTGGGAGCCTCTGGCATGGGGGAACATGGCATTAACTTTGGTGTCCTTTCTCTGGCAGGTGCCAGCATGTCTGCCCTGGTGCTCACTGCCTGTATCATCTGGTGTGTGTGCTCCATCAAGTCCAACAGACACAAGGATGGCTTCCACCGCCTCCGGCAGCACCACGACGACTACGAGGACGAAATCCGCATGATGTCCACTGGCTCCAAGAAATCCCTCCTGAGCCACGAATTCCAGGATGAAACAGACACTGAAGAAGAAACACTGTACTCCAGCAAACACTGACACCTCCAGGGCAGGAAAAGAGGTTTCCATGGACCAGACCCAGTGGTGGAGGGCGATCCCTGTGGTTCAGTTTTGAAATGTTAGCTTCAGGATGTGTCTTCCAGAGGGGTGGGTGGCAGCTCCCAGCTTTCCTCTGTTTGCTCTGTTCCTGTGTACAGGCACTCAGTGGGTGTTGGAGGCTGTTCCTGAGATGGGGAAATGGTTTGTTACATTTTTGGGTCAAGATCTGGAGGTTTATATGATGGGGTTTGAAAGGCAGCTTTAACAGGGTGGCCAGCAGAGCTCTTAGCATTTCCCCAGCATCTCAGCACAGGGACCAGATGGTGGGGAAGTGCCCCAAGACCTGCGTGGGGTCGTGGTCACAACACTCCAAAAAAGGTTTCTCTACCTGTTTTGATTTCATATTTTCCACTACATGCTTGAGGGAAGCCAGATCCTTCAAAGTGACTCCACATTCTGGAGAGCAGATCTCAGAAAAAGACCTCCCCCCACCCAAAAAAAAAGCCTTTGGTTCTCAGCTGTCCCCTTGGAGCTTTTCCTGCTGTGACCTGCAGTGGTTGTGGGGTACCTCTAATGCATCACTACTTTCAGGGAGTGACTTGGCCTCCTGAAGGCTTGGGGAGATGACATTGCTCCTCATGTGAGCTGGAGAAAGTCAGAGCTTCAGTGAACTCTGACAGAGCTCCACTGCCTGCCAGCTCTGCCATGCTGCTGTTCCTGACTTCTGGGGAGCAAAGAAACTTTATCCCTACCACCCTGGCTGTGTTTTGTTTGTGTCATAGGCTTGGCTTTGGGGGGTCTCATGTTCGTGTTCCAATAGCTCTGTACCTGAAAGAGCAGCTGGAAGGTTGTTCTGAGCAAATTGGTTCACTGATCTGTAGAAAACCTGATCAATTTTGCTCAAATCCACCACTATTCAGTAGGAAACAGTAAACTCTGACCACTGCTTTATATTTGAGCATTACTGGAGCAGCAGGGAGAGGTCATGGGGGTAACCATGGCCCAACTTTGGTGCTAAATTCTGAAGAAAACCTGCACCATTTGCCACTGTCCACCTAGTACTATTTAATCACTGAGCTCTGGTGATGGCAGGCAGCAGATTTCCTGCTGGCTTGGCTCTGTTCTGTTCCCTGGAGTGTGGAGCAGGAGGTCCACCTGTGTGTGTGGCTGCAGCTGTGGTGCAGGGGGTGATGAAGGGCTGAACTGCTGAGGGAGAAAGGAAAAGCAGCCAAATTCTGTTGTGTAGCACTTGGCAGAAGGCTGGAAAGAGGAGCTGCAGCACATATCCCTGAGACATATGGGATTTGTGGGGAATAGAAGGGATGTCCAGAAGGAAAGAATGGTTGAAATGTTTGATTTCCAAAGCCTTTATGTATCTCTGATGTTCCTGTGCTTTCTGCAGAAGCAGAAGACCGGGGTTGGAATAGGCACTAATTTTCTTGCTGCTCATTTTCTTTTTTAATTCTTGCCCCACTGACCTGATTCCTGGGGTGCAGGAGCCTTAGGCCTCGAGTTTGCCCTTAGCTGCTCTGTCCTCCAGAGGCTTGGGGACATCCACTGGTGAAACCTGCACGTGGTGTCTGTGGGTGGAGGGGTTGCACCCAAAAATCTAATGGGGTCTGCTCTGCAGGGCTCTGACCTGGTCTCCTCTGGGGGAGCAGCCCCACTGAGGTTTCATGGGCAATGTCACCTGGGGAAGAAGCTGTTCCTCACCTGTGGAAATGCCCTTCCAGAATCACTGTGCTGCCATGGTCATCATCTCATCTGGTTCTATGCAGGGACAGAGAACTCTCAGACACCAGTGCCCCTCCTTCCCTGTTCCGCAGGGAATTTTGTTGCAGGAAACACGGGGTGTGGCTGAGGAGGCGTGCTGGGCAGGGGGAGATGAGGCTGAGCATTCGCCGTGCTCCTGTCCCACATCTGCTGTGACAGAACTGCTCTGGTTGCCTTGTGCAGGAACCACGAACATCTCTGTGCCCAGTCCCAGCTCGCTGTGCTGAGCAAGGAACGGGGTTTGGTCCCTTTTTGTCCCTTTTCCACATGTAATGGGCTCCAGGACACCAGCACACAGTAGCATTAATCCTGCCTCACCTCTGATGTGTTCCTCCTTTAACAGGAGACACAGTAGGTTTTATTTGAAGTCGAGTTTGCAAATGGCTCTTAGGGCTGTATTTGGGCTTTGTTTGCTCTGGCAGCAGATAATGGACAGAGCTGGCCCTGCTTTGTCCCTGTAGCAATAAGTCCTGTTAGGAGCTTGCCCTTTCCCTCAGCCTGCATTCGGAATTAGCTGTGGGGGTAGATGTGTATATTTAAGGTGAGTGGATTTGAGATGTTTTGCAAACGTGTGAGACTTTTCTACGCAGCAGGACCAAGGGACGTGCGTGGCTCTGGCTCCGGAGTTTCGCAAGCACCGGGCTCGTTCCTGGGCACTTTGGGAAGGCAGGAGCGGCTCCCCGTGCCCTCGGCCCGTCCGTCTGTCCGTCCATCCGTGCCCCGGGCCTAGAGGAGCCCGTCGCTCTCGCTCTGTGCACTTGTGCCTTCAAATAAATGTACATTTTCAAAGGGACTTGAATCGCCGTTTCCTGGCAGCGGGAGGGGAGGGAGCGGCGCGGGGCTGGGCCTGGGTCTGCCTCGGCCGCCGCTGCCGCCTGTTTTTTACCTGTATACCGAGATCAATAATCTGTATAAAACTATTTTGATGTCCACATGCGTTCTCTCGTTCTTCCTTACAACGGGGCGGGGGGGTGGGAGCGCGATTAGGATGGGACTGGGGCAGCAGGATGGGGAATCGCGGTCGGGGCTGGAGGAGCGGGATGGGGATCGGGGTCGGGACCGGCAGCGGTGCTGTCCCCCTCTGCCCGCGGTGCTGTCCCCCTCTGGCCGCGGTGCTTTCCCCCCCTGCCCGCGGTGCTGTTCCCCCCCTGCCCGCGGTGCTGTTCCCCCTCTGCCCGCGGTGCTGTTCCCCCTCTGCCCGCGGTGCTGTCCCCCTCTGGCCGCGGTGCTGTCCCCCTCTGCCCGCGGTGCTGTTTCCCCCCCTGCCCGCGGTGCTGTTTCCCCCCCTGCCCGCGGTGCTGTTCCCCCCCTGCCCGCGGTGCTGTTCCCCCTCTGGCCGCGGTGCGGCGCTGCCGCGGGAGGCCCGCCCGTCCCGCCCTGCCCCGCTCACCGCGGCCGCTCTGCCCCGCCCGCTCCGCGCTGACGTTGGACAACAAAGATGGCGGCGGGGAGCAGCAACTACTGGGAAGGCGAGTGGGGCAGGGGGCGGCTGCGGGGCCCCCCCGGGCCACGGCCCGGGCACGGCAGGGTGGGACCGCCGGCAGGGCCCCTCTGCTCTCTCCCGGGGGCCGGCGGGCGCGGGCGGTGCCGGGCCGTCAGCCATGAGGCGCCGGTGCTTGCTGAATGAAGCCCGCGGCGGGGCGGCCCCCCGGACCCTCCTGGGACTGCGGGTGAGGGGCTGAGGGTGTCCAGCCGCACCCTCCTATCGGCCTGGGGCTCTTCCCCCGCCATGAGGGTCCCCTCTCTCTTGTGGGTTTCTCTCCTTTGAGAACGGGACCCCCGGAGGTGAGGAGTCCCCGTGCGGGTCCGTGACTGTCCCCCGCCCCGTGCAGATCTCAGGAAGCAGGCGAGGCAGCTGGAGAACGAGCTGGACCTGAAGCTGGTCTCTTTCAGCAAGCTCTGCACCAGCTACAGCAGCACCCGAGACGGAAGACGCGACAGGTATAGGTACTAGCCCATTTCTTTATGTTTTAAATGCTGTCTGTGGTGCTTGGTGTTTTATCGTTTGCTGAGTGCTGGTCCCGCCTGTGGCTCTTAACGCTTGGCTTCTTAGGAAGCTTTCAGCACTTCTTGCTGCCGGTGGTGCTGTTGATGTGATGTCGGAGTGTGAGTCAGGCTGTGGGTGACAGGTCACTGCAGAAAGATGGATTTAAACTTCCTTCTGTGTGGGAACATTGAATTTTTAAATGCTTGTTACACTGGCTTAATTCTGAGTTTATCTTGTATTAAACTAACAGGAGGTTTTCAGGGACTTTGGTATTAGGGGAATTTAGCTTTACACCTCCCAGGTGGGCTGGTGTGCTATTTGTAATCCCTGTTTTAAGGGAACTGGAGCACTGAGCAGCTGTGCACGGAGCAAGCCCTCTCTTCAAAATGAGTGGCTGTTTCTTCCTGTCTTAGTGCTGAGGTAATATCACAGAATGGCTTGGGTTGAAAGGGACCTCAAAGATCATCTTGTTCCAACCCCTCTGCCATGGATAGGGATGTTGTTAGTGAGAATAATGAGAGCTGCACACGTGTTTTTAGATGTGTGTATATATGTGGTCTGTGTGTATATACAGGAGTGGTTTCTGTTTGCTTTAATCACATTTTCATTTGATTGAAGAACTAATGTGGTAAAACTCTTCAAGCAAAGCCTAATCTTGTGAGCCAGAGGTGAGCTCTTCTCTGCAGTTCCACAGCAGGAATTATCAACCTCTCTGTTTGCAGCCTTTTCTTTGCTTATTGACTGTATCATCTGTGAGTGTTGCTGCATTAGGTATGTGTGTTGATATTTGTCTATTTTATTTAATTTAATGACTGAATCCATTTTGTATCTCTCCCTCAGTTTACAGCTCTGGAAGCCTGACAGCACCTCAGCAATGATCATCTTACTCTTGAACAGCTCTAGTTTCACTTTTGTTTCTGCCTCTGTGCTGTTACTTGCCATGCAGTCTAATTGCTTTCATTATTTTTGCTGTCTTGTGCCAAACTTACTTCTCTTACTCAAGTTAAGGCAGATTACCAGAGCCATGAGTAGTCTCTGAGGGGTGTTAGTTGCCATAGTTCTGCAGGCTGGTCTGAGATGCATCTTTTCCTTGTGGTTACAGTTTATAAGCAAGTAGGGAAGATGTGTGAAACTAATTGTGATAAATGGTGTGCTCTGTGTTGCTCTGTAGGACAGTGATTGCTTAATAGGTCAGAGGCTTGCCCTAACACTGTGTTATTAAGCTGTGATTATGTTGCTGGGGTAACATGCTAAGAGTGCAGTGCTCCCTCCTGCCAGTAAATAAATAAATCAAGCTTAAAAGCTGGGGGGAGGAGGACACTGGTACCAGACAGGTGTGTGGTGTCAGGCATTTCTTCCCAGGAGAGGTTGTATTTCCTGCAGGTGATACTGTGTCATCTGTTCAGATATGAGTTAAAGGCATACAGAATAAGAAAATGTAATTTTTTAGAGATTACTTAATCTCTAGCAAACCTGGGTATAGTGGAGCTTTCCAACCCTTGTCGCTGGTGTTTCCTTATTCCTGGCATTCATGAAACAATGCAACTTTTCCATGACTGCTCCTCCTCTTTTCTTTAGCTCTGACACAACTCCTCTATTAAATGGATCAAACCAGGACAGAATGTTTGAGACCATGGCTGTGGAGATTGAGCAACTTCTGGGAAAGGTAACTCAAGTTACTTTGGGTTTATTTCAACATTTAGGCAATATCACAATCCGAATTTCTGTGATAGATATTAGGAAATCCGAGTGTGAGTGTTAGACAAGGTGTGCATGTCTAGCTGTCTCCTTCAGCTTGTGCACTGTAGTTTTCTTGCAAGAATAAGCCATTTCACATTTTCTGGGGTGTCTTTCCTTCCTGTAGCTGACTGGGATAAATGACAAGATGGCAGAGTACACCAACAGTGCGGGCGTGCCATCACTGAATGCAGCGCTAATGCACACACTGCAGCGCCACAGGGACATCCTGCAGGTAACAAATGGGCTTCCTCCTTGCCTTTATGTTCTCTCCTTGGCTAAAATTATTATTATCTGTGCTGGTATCACAGCATGCTGGAGTGTCTCATTAGGAGGTGTGAATACCACTGATTCCATCTCGATTTCCTTCTCTCCAGTACCCGCTGGGTTCTGAGTTGAAAAAAAATGTGCTTTTTATGTCATACTGATGACTAGAACTTAGCTGAGAAAGAACAATAAAACCCACCCCTTATGTGGGTGGCTTTTATGTAGCAAAAGGGGAAATGTAAGGAATTACCTTGTCTGTCTAGTTTGTCACAACAATGTGCAAGGGAACACCACACTTCAGAAAACATGATTGTAAAACCTCCTAAGCTTCTCAAGGGAGATGAAGGCAATGTGATGTTACCAGTCAGTGCTATAAATTAACCATGTTTTCATGGTACAGTACTGTTAAAATGTATATTTCATTTGGCTACTCATGTACAGTTTGATTTTGTTTGGTATCTGTGCAATCCATACACAGTGTGAAAAGCAATAGCATTGGTATGAATGGTTTTGGTGCACACTAGCTGCCAGTTAAATTGGGTTTTGAGAAGTGCCAGATGCTTGAAATAGTTTAAAATGTAAAATTGCAGCTTAAAAGTAATCTTTATTGTTCAGACAACACTTTTTTTTTTAATCTGGTGTAACAACCAAATAAACTCAGGAACATCTTCACCACACCAGAGAAGTAGGTTTTATTAGAGCTTCTGGTGGGAAATTTCAACACGAACCAATTCATCAGAAAGGTGAGGATAACTGAAACTAGGAGAAGGAATTACAGTGAATTTCCCTCCACAACTGTAGCTGCAGCTATCAAATTTAGCTACTACTCTAAGAGCAGTGAGTTTTAAGAATATTTTGGATTAACTTCCAGCATTTTCACTGTTAAATTCCTAAGTTGGTCTTGCACTTCGTGTTAGAGAACAGTTGGCAGTTTTAAAGGTGGCTGGATCTCCTGTGGGTGTATTGGGTTGCTCAGTTGACCTCAGGACCCTAATTTTGGGATGACTGTTTATTATTACAGGATTACACGCACGAATTCCACAAAACTAAAGCAAACTTCTTGGCAATACGAGAAAGGGAGAATCTGTTGGGATCAGTACGGAAAGATATTGAGTAAGTTGTGTGTGCTACAGCAAAGGTGGGGGACTGTTGTCAGAGGGAGAAGGTGGAGAGACTGCTTGGCATAGCTCACCTGTCTCTGCTCTGAATAAAGCAAAAGAAGTTCCTTGAATTCACAATCCTCATTGAGGTTCTGTTCTGTTGGATTTTAGGTCGTATAAAAGTGGGTCTGGTGTGAACAACAGAAGAACAGAGCTGTTCCTGAAGGAGCACGAACACCTTCGGAAGTAGGTGTTGTTTCCTATTTACTTGTGTTGGAGGTGCCTGACTTTTCTGAAGGGTGAAACATTTGAATTTCTTGCAGCTGGTTAAACATTTATGGTTTGTGTGGAGTGTGAACTGTGTGGGGTAAATAATAGTCATGGTAGTGCCAGTGATTTGAGCTTTAGGATCTTGTCAGTGACAGTTTTCTGTTGTCTTCAGGGGTTTTTGCAAGTCTCTTGTGACTCAGACCTCCTCCCAAGGGAGTAGATGCCTTTCAGTCTGACTGGGGTAAAGTTTGAGAAACTAAACAGAAATTCCCATGATTTGGCTGGGTTTCCCTTTTGTTTTGTTTTTTTTTTAAGTCAGAGAAAAATATTTTCTCCTTTTGTCTCTACTGAATGTGGACAAAAAGTGATGGAAGAAATTAATACCAAAATAACCTATGCACTTAAATATTTGCAAATTGATTCTAGGTTAACTGATATCAACCCAGATAGAAGCACTTTGTTGATATTCCTGTTTCAGAGAGGGCATTAAGTTCTGAGTAGCTGTTTTGTATGTCCTTGTTCAGCAGAAACAGCACAGGTGAGAGCAAAGAACTGGAGGGTTTGTGGTTTTTAGAGTCAGGAGATAGCTCTGGTCTTCCTGCCTCTCTCCTTTCCTGTACTTGTGCTAAACCTCAGGCTCACACGAGAGGGCAGGCTTGCATTTAAAAAACCAAATAAATAAATAATTACATGAGACTTTCTTATATTTAAACTTACAGTCAGAACGGCACAAAAAACTTTCACAGGAAATTAAAACAAATTTTTTCCATTTGTGGCTTATCACCACTTCATGCTCAGTTTTCTGTAATGTCTTTAAAACTTTAAAATTAGTTGATTGAAAGCTTGAATTAGGACTTCTTTTAAGTATGATCCTGAAATAGAGTGGTTAGATATTTCTGGAGTTGTAAAATACCCTTCTAAGAGACTGATGTTGCCCTAAGTGCATTATTTTGAAAAGTTTGCAAAAATTAAGAGGAGAAAGCTTACAGCATTTTGTGAACATTATCTGGCAGATGTCTTCAGAATTTGAGCCTAACATTTATTGAGACATTGATTATTCGTTTTTTAAAATATGTTAAACTCTGCAGTATGTTTATAGGATAAAAATACATGAAAAATAAAGTTAAAGCAGTTTTAGAAATAGTTCAAAGCCATCTGGATGATTATTTGAAAATGTTAAGACTTGAAAAAAAAGCCCACCACAACACTGAGGAAAAGAAAACCAGAAATAAGTGTGAGTTTGGGATCTTTAGTAAACAGGGCCAAAACTAATCATTGAATACTCTGCAGTGTGGAGATAACTGTAAGGACTGTAAAGAAATCCAGTGTAAATGGAGAAGTCAACATTGGCAAGAAATCAAAGCTTGCAAAACTTTTGAATTGAGGATCAGTAAGCTCAGAAAAAGATACTGGCAGAGGAAATTATTAAAGAGTTTCAACATATTTGTCTTTAGAGAAAGAAGTTAATGAGCTATTCATGCCAAAATGCTGTAAAAGCTAAGAAAAGGTCCCAAGAAATCACCAGGAGCTGGCAAATTACACCAAACATGTTCCTAGGATAAATTGACAAGCTTTGTGGGAGTCATGATGCTGAATATTGAATATGCAGTAAATCCTGGTGCCAGACTAATTGACAGAAGTAGATGATTAATATATTTGCACAAAGACATGGGAGTGAAAATCCAAATGTTTTCAGTGGAGTGAAATCTATGAGAAGAGTTTGAAAAAGGAATATTAACTTTACAATGTAATTATTACATTCTCCAGAGCTGTGTAATAATGTAACAGGAATTATATATTCATATCAGATATTGGAGCATTCACTTGGTTTTGACCCTGCTTAATTTATTATGTTAAGTTTTTCGACCTATTACATATTTATTCCATGATCTGATAACAGAATGTGTGAACTGCTGCCCCACTGCTGAGTGCCAGACTCTTCTGTCAGCCTTTTCCTTTATGCACAACCATGTGAGACAGGATAAACACAAACTGGGGTTTTCTCTGGGCTGTGATTCCCATGAATGCTCTTGAAAAAGCTGCAGGGTGGGATTGCTTGTGGGGTGTCTCACTGGGGAGCAAGAGGAGAGACAGGAAACTCTTCTGCTTTTTGCCTAAATCTGCCTCTTTTATTTTTGTGTCACATTGTGAACACCATGAATAATGTTATACACGTAGGTAATCCTAAAAAAGGAGAGGAAGTGAAAAATCTGTGAGTACCAGCTGCTGAATAAAAGGTTCCAACACACATCAGGCATGAAAGGAATGACAAAAAGTGCTGCCCAAACCCTGCTTATGCCTAGCTCTCCATTAAGCCGTGAGGATCCTGGATCCATTTGCCTCCCTTTCCCAGGGTGGGGCTGGCTGCTGTGTCAGTGCTGCTGGCAGCAGCAGGGATTTCCACCTTGGAATCCCACTGGAGCTGGGGCAACCACGCTGGGGAGGGTGAGACAAACATGTCATGTTCTTCTCCCTTCAAAAGCTTCACTGCTACTCAGTCCATTTTGTAAATTAGCTCTTTGTTGGGAAAGGAGATTTGTCTAGAAGTTCTGCTTGCTGTGGATGGGAGGCATGAAGTTTCCAAATCACTCAGTTTCCTAAGACAGGTAATTCAAGAATAGCTTTACCAGCCACTGGAGAGATGAGCAATAGCACCTAATTTTTTAAATAAAAAAATTTGACCTCTGTTAATTAAAATAAGGTTGGCAAACAGATGTTGTTGAGTATTGATGCCCTGTTAATATTTTTACCTAATACCTCAGATTTCTTTAAGCATATCAGATGCTTAAAAAAATACCCAATCTAGAGTGGTCATGTTTGCTGTTCATTTTTGAAATCTTGTTTTCTTGGGTCTGTGCCATTCCCTAAAGGTATTTAATCTTTGCTTGTGTGCTTTTGGCCAGGGGTACAAACAAATAATCCTTTTTCTCCTAATGATGTTTTCCATCTAAAGAAAACAATTTTGTTGAATATATCTAGCTTAGCATTTTAAAAACTGCTCTGAAAAGTGCTGCCTCAGAGGAAACAATTCTGTCAATTTAGAGTCTGCCCTGAGAAATTCTGCAGTTATTGATGAGTTATAGTCTTTAAGTCAGCAAAGAAAGAACTAATGTTCTTGATTAAATTTGCAATATTGTCTGTGTATGCAAATGAAAATTTCCCTTCTGTTGTAGGTGAGTGATATCAGGGGGTACTGATGAGTTTGTGGAAAAAATGATGAAATCTTCAGAAGCTTAGATTGAAATTACAGATGTTATTACCTAGAAATTCCTGTAAAACTAGGTAAAAACACACAATTTCTGCCATTGTGGGGCAACTGTGTGATTATTACTTTATTACTCAGCTCCAGGACTCAAAAATTAGTCATTTATCCCTTTCTAAAAGAAGTGGCTGGTGGTGAAGCAGGTGCCTGTGTGCTGCTGATACCATTAGCTGTGTTTTTAATTGTTGTCAGGTGACTGCATGTTTCTGCTGAGTGTTGCTATGTAGCTTGTGAACTTATCCAGTAAAAAATTTTGAAAATCCTCTTAGTTGGAGTCTCATGTGTGAGTGATGCAGGTAGGTGAGATGAACCTGCTGCAAGTGTTCAGACACCCCTGTGCATCTTAAAGTGTTTAAAACTGGCAGAGAGGGTCAGGGTGCCAGAGTAGGTGGGTAAGAAACTGTTTTTGAAAGAGGAGAGCAAACAAATCAGAGGGACATTTGCTGCATGGGAAAAAGAGAAGAGGAGTAAGAGAAGTGAGCAAAAGAAACATCAGGAACCTGCAGCAGTTGTGTAGTGGTGCTAATTAATAATACGTACCTGAGATGATGAGGAGAAATTAATGTTTGTGCAATGCTTCATGTATGTGGAGTACTCTGGAGTACTGAACACTTCTATTGCTTTCATAATGGCATTTTGTTATCAGCAGAACTATTTCAAATTTCCTGCTGTTGTTTGTCAGAAACAGGCACATTGAGAAGAGAATAATCACTGGGAAAACTGCTTCCAAACTTTGTTGGTGATACAGGCAAGATCTTAACGGAGGGAGTGACTTACTGACTGTTCTTCCTATAAATATTATCTTTCCTTAAAACTTTTCACTTCAGCACTGATTTGCAGAGAGAAATCAGCTCAACAAGATGCAGAGACACCTTGCAGGGTTTTTGATTATAGGTGACTTGATCTTTTCAGAGAAAGCTGCCAGTTTTCTACCTTAATAGAATTTCTTTTTCTTTTGTTGTCCCTGTTCTCTGTTCTGCATGCCCTGGTTTCCATTCTCTGTGCTGTTGCTGCTCAGGCTCCTGTGGATTTCAGTGGAACTTCAGGGTTGGATTAAGACCAGAGAAATGTGGTTGCCTCCCTTCCCATCCCCTCTCTAATTTCCAGTTGCAGAGGACACACAGATGCCTGGACAGTGACTGCTCCAGATGACACACAGTTCACCACTGCATCTCCTTCATCTTCTCTTGGAAACGTAGAGAATGCAGGAAAACCAGCTAATTCACCAATTCCTTTTTCCATCCCAGAGTGGTTGGGGAAGCAGCAGGGAGGGAGGAATGTGATGAGCCTCTTCCCTGGGTGCCTGCAGCCTGCCTGCTCTGCAGCCTCAGAACTGCTGAGCTCCACTTTAGTCAGGCCCAGTAAGGGCTTTTTTTTTTTCTAATTACCAAACTTGCTTCTTAATTAAACTTATTTTTTTGTTCATGTCAGAGCAGAATGCGGCGTTCTTGTGGTTCCATACTCTTAATTTGAATGCAGATTTTAACTGAAGCAGCACTTGGGAATGAATAATCTTTGCTCTGTAGCAGCAGTTATGAAAAAAACCCAAACAGCTCTGCCCTGGGAGGACAGAGGAGCTCTGTGTGGCCCTGTTTTGGGGGGCTTGCACTGGATCTGGTGCTGTTTGGGTGCAGCCCTGCTGTGCAGTGCTGGAGAAGGGCTGCAGCACTTTGTCCATTGAACTGGAAGCTACAGTGCAAGGAGGGATTTGGGA